TTTTTTTTTTTTTTTTTTTGTAAATCAATGTTTAACTTGTTTTCAAGTTTTATTTGAATCATTTTATTTCTTACTTCAAAAAAACATTGATTTAAAAAAATTTTTTTTTTCGCTACTTTCATGTGAAAAGGTGTACAGTTTGCTGTCATTAAGCTGTCGTTTACAACTGTGACTATCAGAAAGAAAGAAAAAAAAAAACAACATCAAAACTTTTCCCTTTTAAACTGCTAAATTAGCAGTTATTCACGAGAAATTGTTTTTAGTTATAAACAGTTAAATAAAAGAGCTTTGTAACGGCAAAAAAAAATTTGATAAAAATTTTGCTGAAATCTTTGTAATTAAACTGCATTAGCACTTGTAGAGTAGTAGATAAAAAACAGTTGTTGACAGCTAAAAGCAAAATAAATTGACAAATAAGTTGACAACTTGCAATAAAATGAACTTCTGTTGTAAATCTGTATAAATTGTACACTTTGATTCTTTCTAGTATACTATTACTACCAAACTGCTATATTTTTCATAACTTTAAGCTTCTTTTTGGCTGCACTTTTAGTAGTTTCAGCTGTGCGCTAAACACTGTAATTGTTAAATTAATAAACACGAAATTACAATAATGTGTTGCGTAAAAATTTTGAATTTTCTGTAAACATAATACTGCTTTAAGTTCTGAATATCTGAACGAGAAAGTTGTGAAAACGCTTTACTCCAAACAAATAATTAAGAATTTCTAAAGCAATCATTGGAAACCATAAGATGAACGCGATTAAACAATTATCATCTGGTACGCTTCAGAGCATTCTAAAAGTTTCATCCACAGTTACTGGGCAAAGTGATAAAGTTCTTTCATGTTTCCAACTTTAGTTACAGTTTATACATCCAAATCAATTCTGACAAGCACTGCTTTTTGGTGTGAATCTTTCCTGTTCAAAGTTTACAAAACAAACATGACTAATACTTTTCAATTGCAAATATCAAACTGCAGTCAATTACTTATTCTAATAAAAAATATTGCTTTATTATCCAAATTAATAGTTAACTTGAAGTTTTTTGAATTCGGCAGCAATTATTTCCGGCACGCTAAATTCACTTTCTAATTCAAAAAAATTCTATTTAAACAGGGAAATTATTGCCAAAATATAGCTTAAAAAGAGGAATAAACGTTTGCAATCTTTAAAGGTAGAATTTTAAAACTAATGCAACATCGTCATGTACAGCTTTTTCAAACTTTTGTTTTGTAAATATATACATTTTGAAAAACTAAGCTTCTTTTTTAGCGAAAGTCTGTAACTTGTTAGAAGTGAGGTAAACAGTACTGAGAACCTTGAAATTGAAGAAATTTTGCGAAAAAGATACACTTAACAGCTAAGACATAAACGGTTTAAAATGTTTTAACTTTTGTCAATCGTTATTCAATTTAAAAAAATCATCAAAGTTCATTTTGATCAAACAACTGCTGTTTATTCTAAGTGTATCCTCAAAATTTTTTGTCTTCTGATTAAATCTTTTTTGCAGAATGAACTGGAAGCGATGCATAAATGCCGATAATTCAGTAACCGGTTGTTGACTGTACAACAATGTTCCACAAATATGGCTTTATTGTTACCATTATTAAATTACATTTAAATCGCAAAAAAAATCTTTTTTTTTATTGGTTTTGATCAAAAAGGTTTCTTGAAATTTTTCTAGGGTCAAAATTTGAACTTTGTTTTACTGCTTCTGAAGAACGATTATACAAGCTACAAAAGTCTAAGAATTAAAATTCAAAAAACAATTCTTCCTGAAAATTCTGTCTTTATTTACAGTTGTTCTGTTCTGTTTTGTATGTTTGCAACACTTTATAAAACATACATACGAAATAAAATTTTGACAGCTAGAAAACAACTGAAAATAAAACTTTTTTTATTTCACAAATTTAGTTTTGTCAAGCATTTTTACTTGATTAGAAAATTGGTAAAAAGTTGAAAACAACTTATAAGCTTTCTCTCAAAAAAAGAACAATTTTAATTATAAATCAAAATATTTAGTAATAAAATTAAAAACAAAAATTAAGAGCTTATAAGTATATTAGCACCTCTTTTAAAATTACGATTAAGAGAAATAAAAGTTTGGGATTTTTAATTGGCTGATGAGTAAGACTTTCTTCAACTCATGAAAACAGCCACTATTGCAAACAAAGATCGCTATGTTTATTGCTTTTTGTGATGACTAAACCAGAAACAGAACGATCTACGATGAAAACATGACGTAAAATTTGTTTTTTAAATACGGCATCTAAAAAAGCGTAAAGTATAAAAAAATTGGTGTAAATGGTTGTTTATCGTATGACTCAAAGATGAAAGAATAAAATAATAGTTGAAAAAACTGGTTAAAAAAATATGAACAGAAATGAGGAAAGCATGATTGCAGTTGATGTTGCCTCCTATAGTTGATCTACAAAATGTGACGAATAGGTCGAAAACACACTAAAGCAACTACAGCTATTCTGTGACTAAGCAATTCTCTATTTTACCATCACCTAAAGCTAAAACAAAAATTTATCTATTTATCTACAAAAAAAAGCAATAATAATAAAATAAAAAAAATAAAAGTGATACTTACGTTAGTGCTTAAAATCAAATTTAATTACTGTTCTCAGCAATTATTGAATAAACTTATTGCTTCAATAAATTGATAAATTTGACCTCAAAGCCAAAAAGGTTTGTTACCTTTGGAACCAAAATATTTTAATTTAAGTAATTATTTTGCAAAAACGACAGATTTTTTCGTCTTTACTGCGCACCTTCTGAGTACAATTTTTCTAAATTGATAACTTTTTTTCAAATTTTCAATTCTTATGTCACGACCAGATAGTGAGAGACTTGACTCAGTAAAGGCACGTTTTTATTGTTGTCTTTGGTAGTTTCTAAGCCTGAATAATTAAAGTAAACAACATCAATCGAAAAATTAGGTAAATGATTATAGAAACGGCAACATAGGTTGAGAATACTGAAGAGTAATTTTAAAAAAACTTTCAAAAAAAGAAATCAAGACAAAGACAAATTTTACGAAAGAAACGTTGTAAGACAACTTTGTAAAGTCTCACAAACAATTTATAGCAGACATGAGCTTAAATCAGAAATACTCGCCTGAGATACGCCAGATTCCTTTAAGTGTTTAATCAAATTACCATACTGCGTAATTCCCAGGCATTTAATTCATTCTTTAACTTTCGAATACCTATCATACTCAAAATTTTCCAGTTTTCTTGTATGACACTTATTTTCTGTCTCCTAAGCTTGCCAGACGTGAATAAAGTTTTGTTTTGTAGAATTAAACTAGATTATTCCAGCAGTAAGATTTCTTCAAAAACTGGCAATAGTTTTGACTCACGTACTTAAAGGTCGACTGTGACATATTGATTCCAACAATTCGAAGGTACATACGTTAATATATATATTATCTGTTTCTGATAATCTAAGGGGTAAATACAATGTGCTTAAAGCCTAATTTTTGTAAAACGTCAAACTTTTTGCACGCTTTTTAAGGAAATATTAGTAACTTTCCTCGTTAAACTTTTGTGACTGAGCCTACCAATTTTGCTCTTAATAAAGAGCAGAAGTGCTTTCAATTCAGAACAATTCTTGAAAATATTTCGAAGAGGAACGCAAGATTGTTAAGAGCGTCATGCGGCCTCATTTTGATATAAATTCTCTTTTATAAGCAACAGAAATCATTTTTGAGAATACAAAAATAACTTCAAGCGTTGCACTAAACAACGGCTTTTTGCTGGTGTATTTCCAAAATAATAATGAAAGCTTCACTTTTTACATTAGACAATTTTTACTTCATTTTCGTCTAACTTTTTTTTTGTCAATGCTCAAAATCATTGCTCATGAGATTAAAATACTGAATTTAAATGGATTTGAAAAGGCACTGTTTCGAAAGAGAAATGCTGAAAGTGGAATAGAACAATTTTGGAAATTGTCGCCATTTTTATTTTTTAGTTCAAAAATACTTTTTTTACCTGCTCTTTTGATACCAATTTTTTCAGCTCGTGAGATCTGGTACTAAGCTATTTCTTTCTTCATTTCTCTCAAAAAACATAACAAAACATGTTTCTCACCAATAATTATCTTACTTTTTTAAAAAGACTATTAGATGTTTACTCCTCAGTGGTTTCTGATCGTCAATTAAAGTGATATTGTATTAGTGCCATATTTTCCAGTATTAAAAAATAATATTATCAGCTAGAACGTGTAAAAGCAACAGTAGATTAAAAGCTGTTCAAATTTTTATGATCAGTCTTTATCATAAAAGTTTGTTTAAAAGAAATACTGTAAATAATTAAGAATCAAAGAAAGTGGGTAACAGTGACAGTAATTCAACTATCTCCTGATAGCAACCTGCTAAACTGTGAGTATAATGAGTGTTTATCATCAACATTGGGATTGACGTACACAACCTTTGGTTGCATGACGGAAAAATCCGGGATTACACTGGCAGACATCTGGAACGCACTCCATTGTGCATAAGTCTGCTAGTGGTTTGCCGCAAGTTGGTTCACATGCTGTACCACAGGTCGTATAATGTTCGTTGGGACCGCACCGTGCTTGACGTCTCACACGGCTCAAATATCTTACTGCCTTCGCCGCTCGGGGAGCTGAAAAGAAAACTAACTTAGTGGCACTGTCTAAAAACCGCGTTCTATACTATTACGTTCAAAAAGTTTTAATAAACTTTTAAATTATAGTCTCAATCTGGTGATAAAACTTTTGATTTGTTTTTTCTTTTTTAACCAATATAATAAGCAATTTTGAACAGCATTTTGATTTGTGATGCAGAACACAGACTAAAAAAAGATACCTGGACAGTCTTCTCGTTTAACGCAGTTGTCATTTTTATCCATAACATATCCTTCATCACACACACAGCCCACATAACAAGCAAGTGGACACGCAAGTGGTAATTCTTCGTTACACCGTTCACGACACATTGAACCGCATGACTCAAAATGAGAATGAGCTGGGCAAGATCGAGGAGTTCGAATCAAACGAGATGCTTCAGTGCAGATCAGGAAAGTGGTCAACTATAAACAGTTAAAATCAGAAAAATTTTGAGTAGTATTAAGGAGCGTGAATAAAAGATAATATCAATTTTAAAATAAGTCTAATATTTGAGGTACAAACTAAAACGAAGATTTAAACAATTAAACAAAAAAGGTCATTTTAAATTGCATTTAAAAGGTAGAAAAAGATTAAGTTCTTAAAAGGTATTTATAGCTTTAATTACCAAGAAAATTTGATGCATTATAAGGTCGATTGTATGGTAATTGCACGATGTTCCTGTAAATCAGTGAACCGATAATGCAGACATGTTTCTTAAATATGAATATGCCTTCGAAAAAAAAGTTGTCAGAAAACTGGACAAACCTTCTTTAGATGTTGTCTTCTGATGTTGGTTACAGATTGCAGCAAAGAACTGAATTCACTGACGACTGTCTATTGATCAGCGCAGAGTACACATGCTATTCGCTGTCTATATGTACTTTTCTCTTATGTTACTTTTAGCGATTGTTTAATTTTTTATTCATAGTTTTTTTTTCTCTACTCTTGAACTAGATATTTTTTGTATTGCTGCGGTACTGTGTATGTGTGTTCAATAACTTTAATCTGTATCTTTCTGAATCGTTCCATACACTTATAAATCTAGAAAAAACTTTTTTTTTCACGTTTTTTTGACTGTAATTATCAGCTTTTTTTCCCTCTTTCATTTTTATAAATAATAACAATTAAAATTAAAAAAACATTAATATCAATTTTTACGATAGCGTAACCTGCTTTTTTTTTCTAAAAGATGTTTGTTCTAGCAGTTAATACTTAAAATCTGAAAAGTTATTGATTTCCTGCAAAATTCTGCTCAGTACTGCTCCTAATTTTTTGTTTTTGCAATTTTCAATGTGTCATCGCTATGCTGTTTCAAAAATCACGTTGCGTCAATACATTTCTATTCAAAAAAGTAAAAAAAATTTGGGTTTCGCTACTGTGTTTTTTTTAACTGCAGTATTTATTTTCATCAACAACGTTTTCAGCTGCAAAATTCTGCTCAGTACTGCTGCTAATTTTTCCTTTTCGCAATTTTCGATGCGTCATCGCTGTACTGTTTCAGAGATTGAGTTGCGTCAACACATTTCCACTTAAAAAAGTAAAAAAAAAATTTGGGCTTTAATACTGTTCCTTTTTTAATTGCAGAATTCATTTTCATCAACAGCTTTTTCAACTTTTGTACACATATTATATTATTCATTACGTACACAACATTTTTAGAATAGACAGTTTATGACATAAGATTTTTTTGAACACGTCACCATTAGCTTTAATTGTTAATTAGTTACTCAGTAAAGTTACACAAGTCGGTTTCTCTTCTTCGAACAAATCACTCAGTAAAAGGGCGTATTTTAGACGTTTGCTAATCACCAACTTAAAAAATACTGTTGTTCTACGAGTAATTCTTGAAGAATTGTTAAGAACTGCTTTTAGATAGCGCTTTTTATGTCACAGATAACAGGCATAGATTATACAGTCTGTTATAAAAAATTTAGACTTTACAAGTATTTTAGCTAAGTAATTCTGTTATCCATCTTTGAATGGCTCTTAATGACAGCTACAGATAGCTGACCATGAGGTGCTTCAGAAACTAGTAAAATAAAAATCTATAGATCTTTTTATAACTACATACTCTAATCCACTTGCAAAACCAACAGCTCAAAAACCTTTTTGACACTGCTTCTAGTGTTAAAAAGTAATTCGTTTTATTACTACCAGTAGGTTAATCAAGTCAGTAATGTGCGAAACAAATTGGTTTACTTCCCTTAAAAACAACTCTGTTTCACAGCTAAAAGTTTCTTCAAAATGCCATTCTACAGAAATATTGCAATAGTAGTGGTCGTTAAAATCATATATTTAACACAGAATTAATTTATTAAGGAATCGTCTATATTATCGCTGAAAAGAAGTGCAGAGCAAAAAATGAGTAAAAATGAAATAAGTAATAAGCAAAAAAAACAGTCGAAATTTATTTACTTGATTACACTGATTAACATAAAAACAAGTAAAGACAAGAGAAGTGATAATGATGATAATATTATCATAAAAACTTGTAAACATTCGCAGAATGATGACATTTGTACAGATTTTAGGTGAATTATTTTACGTCTTTTTGTTCTTTTTTATCTGTTCTCTACAAGTTCAGCTGACTCTGTCAAAAATAACTGTAATCATACAGACCTGGAGTTTTTTAACAGAGGACAATTCAAAGCCCTAAAATAGACAATTTAGTTTTTCAAAAATGGCGTAACTTTTTACTTTTTCTTAGTCATGGTCTTTGATAATGTCACAATTTTTGAGAATTTCAAATTTTAATGTATAAGGATTAATTTTTATTTCTGCATTCCAAAAGTCAGATTGGTATAGTAAGTACAATTTCGGGAGAATACGTCATTACAACAATAAAAGGTAAAGAAACAAATAAGCAGTCGTATAATTCATATTACGATATATATATTCATATACTAATGCGTTAAAAATTTGGCACTTCTGAATGCAGTAGAAGTGCACTCTTCTGCAAAAATTCGGATTCTAAAACAAAATTTCTGACTTGGCAGAACATGCAACCATCCATTTACTGGAAGATATCCATGTCTCACCCTAATATGCACAAAACGTTACATTTGGTTGACTGCAGGTGACTCCACACGCTGTTATTGCAATATTCATTCGCACCACACTGTTTTTCATATTGGTTATGATTCAGATATTTGGCTACATGACTTAGATATCTGCCTAATTCGCCTGCTCGTACGGCTAAAATAGCTAAGCAATCTTAGTATACTAAAACAGTGATGCTTACCGATTTACTCAGTTTTGAACACTCAGCTTTATTGCAATTTGGCTACACCTACCTATCGAAGATACACCGTTCATAAAATCTATAAATGTATAAAACAGTCTTAAATGTACAAATACCGACAGCTTTTTGTTGCAGAAATTGAATAGGTTATCAGTAATAAATTTCTGATATAATAACTGTTGATAGCTAAAACAGTAAAAAATTAAAAATTTCAACATTTTTTTTGCTTGAAAATTTTTAATTTACAGTGAGAAAGTAACCATTGTCATAGATTTGTTCTCAGTTGCAAACAGGCGCTTTAGGAAGAGCTTTTTTTATTGTAAGGATTTGCATCAATAAAATGCTCCAAATTACAGTTGTTATTGGTTAAAAAAAACTTTGAAGAGAATAAGCAATGAAAAAAAAAAATAAATAACTGTGTTTTTGACAATTTTTTTTATTGAAACTATAGAAGAAATTACTTTGATTAAATCTATTGTTTTTTTTAATTTATTTGTGAAAGTTTACAGTTAGAGGTGTCAAATTATATTAGTTATTTTAGGTGTATTTTTTGAATAAAAAGTGTAAATTCATGAAATCAAAGTAGAAAATAGTTTTTGTAGAGTTGGCTGCAGTGATTTTTTTTTTGAAACATAAAAATATTTTAGTTGTAACGTAGTTAATGCTGCATTATGTCAGTTAATAACTGCCAAAAGTAGCGAAAGTGATCAATTTATTCTTGCCATAAATTAAATACCTCTATTTTCAGCTCAATGCTTTATTGAAGCATTCGCTTTGAAAACCTGAACATATCCTGGTTTTTTTTTATATTTAATTAAAATAGTTCTACACTTTTTGTTTCTTTTTTTGATATTTTTGACAACTCTATTATATAGCATATCATTTGTCTGAAGCAAACAGAACTGAACAACCGGTTCACAGCTGATTACTGTTCCAGAACGTCACTGTTAGCCTGGTTTTATAGAATGTTTTTATTGCTATCTTTAGATCTATTCGCTCTTACTTTAGCCTATTTTAGCTCTCTAAATTTTCACTTAGGTTTCCAGGTAAAAAAAAGTACTGCAGTAAAGAACCAATAAGTATTCTATTTTGCCAACACTGAATCACGAAGAGATGTATCTCTCAGTACCTAGACGTTCAGTTGTTTCGCGCTTAGTTATCATCTATAGCATCTGGTACAGAAGTTGTTGGTTAATATCTCTGGGTATTAAAGAATGTGCCATTCACCGTTTTTGAGTCATAAACTCCTAATGTTTTCTGTTTTTTTTTCATTTTGCAAAAAAACCAGTTGTTAAACGAAGTGAAATCAATTTACTTAGTTAATTCGTTCCGCAACAGGTCAAAACTGTACTCATTTGAGATCTATTGGGCGATCGAAGAAACACCCTTTGCATGCGTATTTAATTGACAACCCAACCTTGAGTATAATATGGACGTCAATTAAAAAAAAAGAATTGGCGCAGTGAAAACTGTTGTTTGGAGACTTGGCAAGAATGATGTTGAACAGTTCTCAATGACACTTTTTATCACTTCTAGAAGAACTGAAACATAATAAAATCTAGCTGTTGGAAAATTATTTGGTAAAATTAAAACTTTTTCAACATGTCTTTGGCACAGGATTTGCTTTGCACGTAAAAGCAAAGTTTGTAACATTTCAAGTGAACAAAATGAAATCGCCAACAAGTTTTACTGTAAAATAGCACATTTGGCCTTTCACGATGGTTAACAAATTTTTAACTTGCTTCATAACTAAAATTCTCGGAAAAGTTTTCTGACAAAGATTATTTAGATGTGAAAAATTTGGAAACATTACATTAGTTTAAGTCTAAACAAAATTTTTAGTCTGTCTTTTAAGAACATATAAATTTTACTGAAAAACAGCTAATTGTAAAACAGCAGAACAACTAATTTCGTCAACGTCACCTTGTTTTGAACATTTATTTGCATTTAAAAAGACAGAAAATATGAAGCGAGAAATAGCGTCAGTGATAGATCAATGATGATAGAGCAGAAATATAAGTAACACCAATCAAACTTTTCCGAACTTCAGAAACTAAAGTTGTTTTTTGGAAAATGCAGTCTGCAGCCCGAAATAACACAATTACCTGTATAAAGAATAAAGTTTCTCTTACTGGTCTTCTAATACTAGAAACTTCTCTTGGTAAATTTAGATGACAAAAA